CGCAATGACTCTAAATAATAATGATCACGCCACCAAACACACATTCAAACTAAAGGAACCAGCCTGTTTGGAAAATGAGAGAAGTAGAAAGTAGCCTACAGGTATTTGTGTTCAACATGTAAGAAGTAGAAAGTACAGGTATTTGAGTTCAACATGTGAGAAGTAGAAAGTACAGGTTATTTGTGTTCAACATGTAAGAAGTAGAAAGTACAGGTATTTGAGTTCAACATGTAAGAAGTAGAAAGTACAGGTATTTGAGTTCAACATGTAAGAAGTAGAAAGTAGCCTACAGGTATTTGTGTTCAACATGTAAGAAGTAGAAAGTAGCCTACAGGTATTTGTGTTCAACATGTAAGAAGTAGAAAGTAGCCTACAGGTATTTGTGTTCAACATGTAAGAAGTAGAAAGTACAGGTATTAGTGTTCAACATGTAAGAAGTAGAAAGTAGCCTACAGGTATTTGAGTTCAACATGTAAGAAGTAGAAAGTACAGGTATTTGAGTTCAACATGTAAGAAGTAGAAAGTAGGCCTACAGGTATTTGAGTTCAACATGTAAGAAGTAGAAAGTACAGGTATTTGTGTTCAACATGTAAGAAGTAGAAAGTACAGGTATTTGTGTTCAACATGTGAGAAGTAGAAAGTACAGGTATTTGAGTTCAACATGTAAGAAGTAGAAAGTACAGGTATTTGTGTTCAACATGTAAGAAGTAGAAAGTACAGGTATTTGAGTTCAACATGTAAGAAGTAGAAAGTACAGGTATTTGTGTTCAACATGTAAGAAGTAGAAAGTACAGGTATTTGTGTTCAACATGTAAGAAGTAGAAAGTACAGGTATTTGTGTTCAACATGTAAGAAGTAGAAAGTACAGGTATTTGAGTTCAACATGTAAGAAGTAGAAAGTACAGGTATTTGAGTTCAACATGTAAGAAGTAGAAAGTACAGGTATTTGTGTTCAACATGTAAGAAGTAGAAAGTTCAGGTATTAGTGTTCAACATGTAAGAAGTAGAAAGTAAAGGTATTTGAGTTCAACATGTAAGAAGTAGAAAGTAAAGGTATTTGTGTTCAACATGTAAGAAGTAGAAAGTTCAGGTATTTGGGTTCAAAATGTAAGAAGTCCAAGTAAAAAGTCGTCAGAAAAATAAGTAGTGGAGTAAAGTACTGATACCAGAAAAATGTACTTAAGTAAAGTAACAAAGTATTTGTACTACTTCTCTCACCTGCAGGTCTGAGATCCGCTCGCAGGGCATCCCGTCGCGCACGAGCAGCGGGATGGAGGCGCGGCGCGCGGGCAGCAGCGGCTCCATGTGCTCCGCGCGCTTCATCTTGTAGCGGTGGTTCTGGAACCAGATCTTCACCTGCAGAGAGATGATAATACATACGTTTTATAATAATTAAAATATATGCGCGGGTCTCCCTGCTCAGTGTGTGCAGAGGATGATAATAATACATACATATAAATAAATAAAATACAAATTATTATTAAAAATAAAATTAACATTTCTTTTATTATAAAAAAAATGAAATAATAATCATTTAAAAATAATAATAAACAATAAAGTAATAATAAAAAAATGTAAAAAGGAAAGAATAAAAAATGTAGTAAAAGAATAAAGAAATGAAATAATAATAATACAAAAATGTAAAAGATATATACCCAGGTCTCCCTGCTTGGCTTGGATGTTAATAATAAACAAATATAAATAAATACAAAAATAAAATAATAATGCAAAGGAAATTTAAAATAGAAAACTGAAATTGAGCATTATGTTTCTGTCCCTTCTGTAATTATATATTTTGTACTTTTAATGCTCAATAATATATATATATATATATCCTCTTGTCTAATCACCTGATTGGGGGTGAGGCGGATGAGCCCGGCCAGGTGCTCTCTCTCCGGCGCGGACAGGTATCTCTGCTGCCGGAAGCGCCGCTCCAGCTCGAAGGTCTGCGCTTTGGAGAAGAGGACGCGCCGCTTCCTGCTGCGTCCCTTCTGCGCCGCGCCGCCGCCGCCGCCGCTCGCCGCATGCCGTGCCGCGTCCGGGGACTCATCCGTGGAGAGATCCGGAGATTTACCCCCCTTTCGGTTCTCTAAGGAAAACCCGTGCACTGCAGGAGGACAGGGGAAGTCATCTGATTACTCTCGGTCCTCTGGCTGTTCTAAAACCGTTTTACACAAATGCTGAGGTTGAGATTGTTGCGTTAAAATCCACAGTTCTGGGCCAATAAGGCTGAAACAATAAGGTGCTCTGATCTTATCTGTTATTCAGCTTGTTGAAAAGCTCAAAGCAAGCAGAGTATTTCTTAAGTTATGATCAATATTCAGCATGCCTGATCATTCTATCTTCCTCAATTTGCAACGATGTGTAATATAAGTCCTCATTTGATATCGCTTCCAACACAAGTGATCCAAAACAACAGAAACAATATATATAATAATCACATGGGATTTGTATAGACATTTCAGAATCAGAATCAGAAACAGGTTTATTGACACGAGGAATTTGACTTGATGTCGTGGTGCATTCATAAAAGTAAAACAAAGTAAAACAAAAATTAAAAACACAGATAGAGAACTAGAAAAATATTTAACATAATAAAAAATATAGTAAAATATAACAGTATTTACATATAAATGGAATGGAAAACAAATATGGAATAAAAATCGACAGTAATAAAAAAGCAGATATTGTTGTACATTGTGCATTAATGTAATGATGATGTGGCTGCATGATCATTTAAGATATAAAACAAACAATTCTACATCAGATTAATGTTTCATTTCGTTTCAAAGGCTGCTCGGGAAACCAGCCCCAGGTTGATCTCCAATCACAAAACGACTATTTCAGTTCAACATGAGTCTGAAAGATGTGACAGCTCCTCTCTTGCAGAAACTGAACATCAGCAATAACTTTTAACTCCATGTAAAAGCTCCGCAGTCAACATTAAAACAGATTAAGTGATTTAATTTGTGATAAAATAAGAATATAATGCCAAATGACAGGGAAAGGCGTAAAAGGGACAAAGAGTGTCCAGTTACGCACGGATGTGTGAGGCTGTCCGGGCGGAAATTAGGATTAAATTATCATTAATTGTAATTTTGTATAATTGTTATAGTAATAAAACGTATTATTTGTGAACAAAGTATTTGAAATGGGGCATATATCGATTTGTATTACCTTTAAGTATTGATTTGAACATTACGCAAAATCAAAAGTCCGTCTTATTCGTGATTTTAGAGTCAGAAATTTGATTTAAACTGAATAAAAATTAATAAACCATAAAATAAAGATCTCATTATATTAGCTGTTTTATATTTATTTAAAACAGGAATTAGTGTTCTTACATGAGAAGTGCAGGTTACCGGATCCTCGGCTCCACCTGCCGCTAAATCCCAGTTTCTGCCCGGTCTCCATCCTGGGCACCTCCACCGGTCCCTCCTCCGGTTCCTCCTCCTCTGCCTCCTCGGTTCCGGATCCGTATCTCCCGGTTCGGTCCGGTAGATCCAGGATGTCCCGCACGGAGAAACCCGTTTTTGTGCCAAAAGACATTTTCACGCACGCAAGGAAGGAAGGAAGGGAAAAAAGGCGGTAAAGTTCCAGGTTTTTAGTCCCGCGGTGGATCAGTCTCTGCTGCCCGTTGAAGAGGAGCATAAAGCGGACTGAGAGGGTCCATGAGAGGGTCCGGAGAACCGGAGAGGACTCAGCTGGAGAAACACATGAAGCAAGACATTAGGGAGGCTGAGCTCCGAGCTTTAAGGTGTGTGTGTGTGTGTGTGTGTGTGTGTGTGTGTGTGTGTGTGTGTGTGTGTGTGTGTGTGTGTGTGTGTGTGTGTGTGTGCGTGCGTGCGTGCGGTGGGTCAAGTGTGTGAAATAGAGACCCTGAATCAAGAGAGATGATCTTCGGGGAGGAGAGATGTTTTAATGATGGAGGATTAGGAGCAGAGAGGAATAATTTGCATGTATTAGTCACTGATCCACTTCCGGTTAGTTTACTCTTCAGATGTGTCCAGAACTCCAGAAAAAAAAGATTTAAACATTGATTGATTGCAACAACATGACATTTATATAAAGTGGAATGAATATGAGTATGCTTTAACATAAGGGGGATCTATTTATGCAGCATTCATCATGGGCATCGTACCAGAAATAGGCTTCATAATCAAATCTATAGCACTTTTCAAACGTGCAAAATTACACGAAAAATGTATAAAAGTGGTCAAATTAAAACATGAGATTAAGTTCAATAAAACACATTTTTTAAATATGCAAATACACATTTTTACAAGAACAAATTAAGGATTTGAATCCCCTAATTAACTGTCTTTTAATTGCACTTGTAAAGCTCCTTAAGGTGTTTTTTAAACCCTTAACTGCATGACTAAACCACTATAGAGATAAAATGCTGAATTCTTTGGGCGTACATTTGCCTAAAAATAAGTATAAGAAAACCCAAAATGTACATCAAAATTAATAGATAAGTAAAGGGCCTCTGTATTTTATATAGTCCTGTGTATTCACCTTTTACAAATAGATACAACATGAAGGAAAGACCAACATCTAGGATGGGTGTGTGTTATGAGGATTAAGGGACTGTTTACACTCCAGCTGATGGACTCACTGATACTCAAACACACACACACACACACACACACACACACACACACACACACACACACACACTCTCAGACAGGGTTAAACTCGGAAAACAACAGAAATATGTCTTTGTTTGGTCGTTGCTTAGCAACTCATTAAAAAAATTTGGGGGAAACTTCTGTAGCAATGGAGAGTCAGGACTCAAAGAGACACGAGGAGAGCTGGAGCTTTTATGTCAAACACTGATGGTTTATTATGAGCTTCGGCCGGAGAATTCACAAGACATGTCATGTCACGGGCCACGGTTTGACCATACGGTTGAGATGCCACAATCAATTCTGAAGAACTCTTCTGTAGTTCCAGGTTTTAACTAGTTCGGAGTGAATCAACATTCTTTATCAGCGAGACTAAACAAATATGGACCCTGAATCTAACTAGAGCTGTCGTCCATAGAAAATAATGTGCGCCAGGGAACCTACATTCCTAAAAAGAAGGGCTTCTAGATGTCCCTGAACAATAAACTATCTCATATCAGCTTGCGCTTGGTCATAAGCTGGCAACCACAATGCGCCCAAGCTGCCCCTCCTTTAAGTCCCTCAAGGCCCTGACACACCAGGCCGAAATCGGCCGTTTTCGTTAGTCGGACGACGAAGCGTGCCCTGTCGCCCAAACTCAATTTGGTGTGTCCCGCACCGTTGCGGGACTTTTGTTGCCTCTTTTGAATGACGAATACACACTACCGCCGCCTGCTGGTAAGGAGAGTTATT